AGAACCTAGAGGACCCTGGAAGCAAGGGCGAACAAGTTGACTTTGTTTACCTGCTGGAGGGCCTGAGGAGAGTAGGTACCCAGGAGGACCTGGCCAGCAAACATTGGGAAGTGGGAGGGTTGGAGTTCAAAGAGAGGTCAGGGCTATATCATTTTATAAAAGAAATATGAAGCCAAAATTTTGCTTTGTTTTGCAAGTCCCCAGGGAGAGCTTAGTTCATCCTGCAGGGAAACCCCCAGTCTTTCAGTGGCCCCCTAAGGAGAAACAAACCAAACTCTGTAGGATTAAGCTATCTTTCTAGTGTCCTCAGCATTGCACTTTATCCAAACAACACCCACACCTCCTTGCAAACAGCAAAATGGGGTCCCCAGGACCCACGAGCAGGGGAAGGGAATGACAAGCATAGAGTCCAGATCTCTGCGTCCTCCCGGGCCAAAGCGCTTTTCATCCCTGACTCTGTAGACGACGCTGCAGGGGGCAACCACATATTCACTTTAACTAAAACTTTACAAATAATTTGGAGTCGTCAGAATAGAACGTTACCTGTATTTACAGACGGAGAGGAAGGAGGGCAAGGACATAATGTGTGCCCGCGGTGAAGTCTGGCGCGAGTCAGAGTCACCCTGAAAAATTTCACTTTCGTGTCCCAAAGCCCTTCTATCCTCTGGGTTTGCACCCGCAGGCGGGCGGGGACCGTGCGCGCACCCTCCAAGGCCCGCGCGATCCCAGAACCCACCCAGGGCGGCTCCCGGTGGCACCCGGTCTGCCCACAGTTCAGCGGGAACTCTCAACACTACAGCGCCTCGACTCTCGAGCCCGAGGGGTCTTCAGTCTCCCTCGGGGGCGGGTCAGCCGCTGAGGCAGCAAAATGGGGTGGTGGAGGGGCCGGATCCAGTTTGTCCTTCCCGTCTGCCTCTCCAGTTTTAAAGTCCCCACGGTCTCATCCCATCTACACCCCAGAACCCGCACCGGTGGGCGCTCGAGGGAGCGGCTCATTTCCCTGCCTGACTCCCCGGCAAGAGGTCCCTCAGCTGTCCCCTGTCTGTTCTCCCTTCTGGGATCGTGCAGCGTTAGGGCGGCCCCGGGAGGATGCCCGGGGGACGGCGAGCCTGGAGGGCGCTGACGCCGGGGTAGGGAGGCCTGCCGGGGGC